TCTCCGAAATTAGATGCGCCTCTGTTTCTGCATGTTGCATACTGCCCTCCTGATCGACGTCTGTCCTGCTTAGGTTCTCACACAAGAAGCTCACTGGTTGGAATAAATGGATTATGTTCAACCAGTGTGTCTAACAGGGCCAATCTCTTTTTCTTAATTTCTACGTTTACTGGGTCACTTCGTGCCTGTCGCAGAACAGTTATCTCTTAGTTATCGTTTACGAGCGTCTGTCTATGTCGAGTTGGTACCTTGCGGCCTTACGAACTAGCTGCGCTGCTCTTTCCATCTGAGTGAGGATATGTTTCAATTTCTGGCTGTATGCTGCCGCTGTTGGACTCTTCCGCCTGGAGTCGTGTGACGTTCTATAATAGCATAGTGCTGTCTGCTTCCTCCGTTCAGAACGAGAAGTGACTCCACTGCTGATTACTGTCTGCATCGTCGTTTTGTGGATCTTGTTATCGTGCTACTACGCCTTCGGCTGCCAGAACATGATGAGCAGGTTCTAATCGCCGGCTGTTCGCAGCCTGCCTCAGTCGTCCAGCAGCCTGCTCGGTACCATGTAATACGGGTGATTACTGGCCTAATGTTCGATGATGGAAATACCATGAGGGAGGTGGCTAAGTTATACGGTAACTTCGTCACGGTCTCCAATTCTCATCCTTTCTCATCAGGACTTGGGAGATAATGTTTCGCTTTTATTCCGAAGTGGATAACAATGCCGTTTTACTTTACTTTACTTTACTTAACCGGTGATGATTATTCTGAAGAAGTACGGAGAGTTTGCTGTTTTAGGTGTTTATTGCGATGCATACTTTTGATCATTAACTTCTGACCAGAATTCTCGTGTCTATTCCTCATTGCACTCCGGACATAATGTGCGTGAGTTGTTGTGGTATGGTCAGCTGGCCAGCCTAAGATCTTTGGTGTCTCTGTTCGAGGAAGTGGACATGGCAGTTTGGCTGTCTATACTCGTTTACTCGCCTAACTGATCATTTGCTGACGCTTTCGCTTGTGAGCAGTGACGAACTTGTCAAGAAAGTTTTCCTTTGCCGATAATATCAGGCGTCTGAATAAATGTCGTAGACAGTGTTTGATAATAAATCATCTCTCACGGAGTTCTCGCGTCAGGGTTGTTAGCTACTGCCGTAAATAATGCACACTTGTTCATGATTTTTTTCTCTTCCCATCCTTTCTAAAAAACTGCTAACGATAATTGCAGATTCGCGTTGGCGGCGGCTTTCGCGTTTCCGGTTCAAACGTCGAGCGTTTCGTTGGTGTGCGCCTTTGATCGCCAGTCTTTAGCAAGAAATGTACTAGCAGAAGCACTTGCCGTCTCCATGCAATAGATGGCTTATTCAGCAGTGAAGTAGTAAAATAAATCATTTTGAAGCATTGACGCAGCGACAATTCAACTGATGTAAAAAACGATGGCTTTCGCCCACGTTGATGAGTTGTTGCACTACAGTTTTATATTCCGCATGCGAGTTTTGCTTATATATGAAAATTGGCATGTCTCAAGAATATGAAGTTTATTCTTTTGAGATGCAGAACTTTATCGTAAGCACAGAGTTTCCTGTGAATGACATGCTACAGGATAGACTGTTGTCGCTCTGAAAGACACGAACTGATGCTGAGTGTGGTTTATCTATTCTGTTGATATAATCATTGGAGGATCTTTAGGAGTAAGGGAAAATCAATGCGGGATATCACTCACCGTTTGCCGAGGAGCGTTCACAGTATTAGTATTTTTTCAGCGTATTAGTGTTTTTTAAATCCGCTTCTGCTTTTATGAAGCGTCACGAAAATACAGACAACTTCAAATTCGAAATGGATGCCTAACAAGGGATACCATGTCACCGAAGTTATTCACAGTAATTTTAGAAGAGATTTTCGAAACACTCCATTGATAAAATCAGACCTGCAGATAAATGAGCACTCGAAGCCATTTGCAGTTTGCGGACGATATTCTGATCTTCTCAAGGCCATCAGAAGAACTCCAAAGAAATATCCAATACTTGATAGACGCCAGCATGGAAGCAAGACTGAAAATGAACTCGATGTAGAGTCAGGTCTTGTACGTTTAACATATGCGTGACCCCGTGATCTGTTGAAGTCACTAAACTTAGGCTTGAAGAAATGCAAAAATTTGTAGTTTTGCAATCTGGCACGGCTCAGCTCTGCAACAGAATGCCGACTGCGAAATCAACAGAAAAGTAAAGTTGTCTTACGGTAGTTTCGAAAGATTGCAAATTTCCTATTCGGGAATTATCCCTTGCGTTCGAAACAAAAAGTTTTCGAATAGCGTATGCATCCAGTGCCTACTCATGGAAACGAAACGTTTACCCAGTGTCTGAAAACTATTCATAATATGCAGGCTGCGCAACGCAACAGTCTTGTATGTTGAAAACAAGAAAAGGTAGGAAGAGGAGTTTGTGATGTCATTGCCCGATTAATGAAGTTCAAGTTGCAGTGAGCAGGAAGCGTTACAAGGAGAACCGACCATCGTTGGACCAAGGAGACATTAAGCTAAGTTCAGAGAGATTAAACGGCCTATAGGATGGCGTCCTTTGATCGTGAAAAATTCATGTGATCAAGATGGATACGAATCACAGAAAACAGAAGTTTTTGACAGGTCGTGCAGAGCCAGCAGTGGATTGAAAAAGGCTGATGATGAAGCATGTTTCTGCGATTCTAGTAGACTGAATTTGTGGTTAAAACCTTTTTTACCAGACATGCAACTTTTTGCTGTATGAGCGACCAAATGCTAAAGGGCGTTCATTATCAAGTCTCCACGTCGCTCGTTCATATTCCTGATAAGGTCTGAGAGTTGTGGATCAAAATGCGTTGTTCATCGTAATTCTATTATTTCGAATCTCTGGTCATTACCGTTGTGCGCGAGGATGCTTCTTAATTCCCAAGGGTCAGCACTAAGTTCTGTACTGTCATTTAAATAATTAAAACTTCAGAACAGGTTAGCTTCAGTTACCCTGACAGGACTTCGCTCATGCGACAGTATTTTAAGGTCGAAGGTTTAACGAAAGGGCGATGTTAAGATAAAAGCTGTCTTGTCAGCGATAACAAAGAGAAATGAAAATGGATGAGCACCGTTTAGGATACAAAACGGTCTAACACGTCGACGAAAAAGCAGTAGAACGATGATTCCAACTCTCTGGGAAGCCAGGTGAAGTGCTTCGAGTATTTACTAAATGACACGGGGCTATAGTCACGTTATCCCCATCGAGGGGGGGATGGTGTTTCTAAAACAATCTGCCGGTGTGTCCGCTGAAAGTTATAGAGCCGAATGATCACGGTTTTTACGGAAGTCGATGACCTATGCGACCGTTGTCAGCCGAAAAGAGTAAATTTTGATTCAGAACTAGCGCAAGAACGAGTACATATGTCGATTCAAAAGGACTTTTGTTAATCGGATGGTGACGAAGTTATTTTTCTCGTCCGATTGTTTAAGCGTGATCGTCTCATCACACAAACAATATTTTGGCCGATGAGATGAATCTCGATAAACGCTGCATGCACTGACTACTAGAAGGACTTCGAGAATATTCTGCACCTTCATCTCGTGTGGTGTCCGAAGTTTAGGCAGAGAAATCGCAGGAATGAATTTGTCGAATGAATCGAATGGTCGCGTTGTAATTGGTGAGCAGGAGACTCGAAATCGGTCAATCTTATTTAGAATCATAGCCGAAATTGAGGCACATCATCCTTGACTTAATTGTACCCAAATACTGTTTGACAACGCTTCATCGTCTTAGCGATCCTTGTGGAATCATATTTCAATTTTTAGGTACTACAGATTAATCTTCCGGTCACTTTAACTGGTGTATGAGTGGGAATGCGAAGCAGGATCAGGAGTGATGTGGAATACCAAAAGCGCGTGCTTAGATCTGAATTCAAACCTAGAATGATGTCCAGGCCGTCCAAGGTCAATGACGCGGCTGACTGGATCATTTTGATGCTCATTGATAATGCTGATTGGGTCATTATCATGTTTTGCTATCGCTGCTAGAGCTGTTCTTTCCGAAAAAGATACTGTCATTCAACGCTAAAACAAGTTTTATCGTAGATGTATTAACAGCTAATCGTCAGGAACAAGTCGGTGTGCTTATGTTTCCGCCGCTTCTGCAGTTCTACCTCAGAATGAGATTTTTCTATTCGTTTACGTTTCGGTGTAGTAGTCTGGTTTAATTTTTTGACATGCTATTAATACGTCAGGTTCGTTCTTCAAAATGGTTCACTTCTCATCCCGCGTGCTTCCGGTCCGCAGTCCGAAAAAAATCTGTATTCCGACGCAGGAGATTATCAGTGTGAAATAATCGTCAACGATCGATGGATCTACTTCAGCCGAAAAGCAAGGCTCAGATACGCTGGTAACGCGTTGAATTAACACCAGTCATAACTATTATCCTAATATGCGTATTTTCTAGTGCTATCTCGCTTTGAAGATCAACCGACAAACCGTCGAGTGTTTCTTGGTGATACCGTTGTGATACCGTGCCGGATCAAAGGTTCGCCGCCTCCTCAGTTTCATTGGTATAAAGATGCCCAGCTGATTGATGGTCAGTAGTTTTATTCTTGTAAAATCACATACCTCTGTTTCATTCGTCTGCAATCTCTTTACATTCTGGAAAGATTGTAGTTTGGCTTATTTTGTTTCTAACTCGTTTCATTTAATTATTCGCTCTTTCCCTCTTGCCGCTGAACTGAACCCGCCTATCGATACAGCGAATAGTTTTTGATGGCAGGACTAATGCGCATTCAGTTAAAGCAACGGAGCTCTTAAGGTTCGCCAGTAAATGCCCAGATTCGATAAGCAACTTTTGAGTAAACTAGATAGGTTCTTTAAAATAGTGAATGTTCCACAGAAAAGGAAAATACAGAATGTACGATGGCGTAAAGGTAACTACTATGAAGAATCATTAATCAGTGCCTAGTAAAAGTTAAAAAGCAAGTTAGTAATCGTTAGAATGCCGGTCTGCCTTGCACTTCGTGACCGAGGTCGCTCAGTCAGTATAGCTTCGGACTCAAAACCAAGAGGTCCCAAGTTACAGCTTCGGTCGAGTCACTCGGCTTTCTTCCTTTCGAGGTTGATAAATGATTGCTCTTCTGTGGGACAGAGGCAAGGGATTACACACTATGCTTGACTCAGCTGCTGTCGACCTTTTGTAGAATAGCGTACTACTAGTTGATGGTATGGAAATGAAGATCAGTGTTCCTTCAGTAACTAATGGGTATGGTCCCATTATGAAAGTGTGAGAAAGACCAACCTTCCATCGGTTACATGTTTTTCCCTTACATTCACGATGAGGTCATTTCTTGCGCCCTTTTTTTCATTCCATGATGAAGTTAATGGTGGGGCACTGACCTCCATCTGCATGCCACCAAGGAGTACCGTATTTTAAAGGCAGAGTGTAGTGTGTAATCTCCTGTTTCCTTCCCATAGAGTGCTGCTTATTCATCAACCTCGAAGGAAGAAAGGCAAGTGCCCCAATCGGGGCTCAAACACGGAATCTCGCAGTTTTGAGTTCGATGTTCTTCCTGCTGAGTACACCCGATCATGGCACCAAAAGACCTTAAGATTTGGGGTGATTACTTGTACCTATCGACAGTAATGGGTCATCGAAATGCCCTAAGACCCCTTTCTGTGGAAGATGTTGGATTGTCGACCACACCGCAGTTTCTTTATTAATCAGGAATGATGTATGGGTGTCTGAAAATGGTAGACTACTGGAAAACGATTAACTTTAAATGAAACCGTAGCTCATGTTCACAGAGAAAATAGCGTTAGTGGAGCTGTGCTGTTATGAAATAAATTTGGTTCTTACTGTTGCGTTAGGACAACTTGTGCGTCAGTAAATTGTTTGCAGAAAGTTTCTTTTTTGATTCGACGGGTATTCTTTTTGAATGAGCCGTTCTTACTTCGCAGACGGCGTTTCCGGGATTGCGATTAATCCGGTCACTGGTACGTTGGAGATCGAGCAAGTGCAAATGAAGGATCAGGGTGTTTACAAGTGCAAAGCAGAAAATTCAGACCGCGCACGCTTCAGCAAGGAGGGACACCTAACGGTCGAACCGAAGGAAGGTAAGGCGCTTGGTTGGACAGCAACCTGATGAACGTTTAGATGACGACAGTGACAATTTTAGAAGCGAACGAACTGATGGAACCAAAGTTCGAGAATAAACCACGCGGCATTGTTGCCAACGTCGGCACTTCGGCAGTGTTGGAGTGCGCGGCGAACGGTTACCCGATGCCTACCATCCAGTGGCTGAAGGAAGACTCGCCGTTTCTTTTCGAGTAACCATTGGCGCGCTTGACATCTTTCAGCTGCAGGCGTTCTCGCAGCCTTGGCTCATTTTACAGGATGCTTAAAGCTTTGAGCGGGCCTGCGGGAAAACACTACAATGAGAGTTTATTCGACATTCCTCTTCA